GTTGTATGTTCCATTGAAGAATCGAATGACATTGATAGTATTTCGATTGATGAGTTGCAAAGCTCATTGCTGGTACATGAACAGAGGATGACTAGGCATGTTATGGAGGAGCAAGCCTTGCAAGTTTCAATTCATGGAGAAACATCCCCTGGGAGAGGCAAAGGACGTGGCAGATTTTGAGGAAGAGGAAGAGGTAGAGGACGCTAGCTTTCCTACAATCAAGGAGCACCATTTGACAAGGCAAGTATGGAATGCTATCACTGTCATAAGCTTGGCCATTTCCAATATGAATGCCTTGACAAGGAGAAGGATACAAAGATGAATTTTGCTAAAACTGAATAAGAGCTACTTTTGATAACGTACATCGACAAGAGAGAGACTAAATCAGATGATGCATGGTACTTAGACTCTGGCTGCAGCAATCACATGAGTGGTAACAAACTCCTTTTCTCTGATTTAGATGAGACTTTTAGAGAGAATGTGAAACTTGGAAACAATACTAATATATGTGTCATGGGGAAGGGTAACATCAAAGTTCTGATGAATAACAATACGTACACTATTACTGGTGTGTTTTATGTTCCCACACTCAAAAGTAATTTGATTAGTCTTGGTCAGTTACAAGAGAAAGGTTTTGCCATTATCATTCAAAAGAGTTGCTGTCAAATTCATCATCTACATAAGGGCTTTATTGCAGAGGTCAAAATAACAGGAAATCGGATGTTTCCTTTGTAAACTCAAACTGAACATACTGATAAGATATGTCACAAATCAACAGTACAAGATCTTGCATGGCTGTGGCACTATCGATATGGGCACTTGAACTTTAATAGGCTAAAAACCTTGCAACAAAACAAAATGGTGAAAGGACTTTCACATATTCAATCTCCTTCAAAGGTTTGTGAGGATTGCATCATTGGCAAGCAACATCGTGACCCATTTCCTAAAAAGAGCGCATGGAGAGCCACCCAACCACTATAGCTAGTCCATTCAGACATTTTCGGGCCAATTAATCCAACATCAAACAGCAATAAAAGGTACTTCATTACCTTTACTGATGACTACAGTCGAAAAACATGGGTTTATTTTTTGATAGAAAAGTCTAAGGCTATTGCTGTATTTAAAAGATTTAAAGCTCAAGTTGAAAAAGAAACTGGCAGTCCATAAAGGTTTTCCGTACTGATCATGGAGGTGAATTTACCTCACATGAATTCACTAACTTGTGTGCAAGAAATGGCATTCGTAGACAGCTTACTGTCGGATACACACCACAGCAGAATGGTGTGTCATAAAGGAAAAATTGCGCGATCCTAAATATGGTGCGAAGCATGATTGCAAGGAAGAACATTCCTAAGATTTTTTGGCCTAAAGTTGTAAACTGGAGCGTTCATGTATTGAATAGAAGCCCTACACTTTCTATAAAGACCATGACACCAGAGGAAGCATAGACTGGGCATAAACCAGCAGTTGATCATTTCAGGATATTTGGATGCTTAGCCTATGCACATGTACCTGGCGAGAAGAAAAGCAAACTTGATGACAAAGGGGTGAAATGTGTGTTGCTCGATGTCAGTGAAGAATCCAAAGCATATAGACTGTTTAATCCACTCACTCAGAAGATAATCATTAGCTGTGACGTGGTGTTTGATGAAGACAGCAGCTGAGATTGGAGTATCACAAGAAATAAATCAGTTTCAGTTGATTTAGACGCAAAAGATGAAAGCAACACTGAAGAGGAAGTGCAATCCGTTTGAGACAGTTTATCACATGTTCCATTAAATCAGCTAGTTGAAATTGAACCTTCAAGTAAAGATGTTCAACGTCTAAGAAAAAGACCCTATTGGATGACAGACTATGCAAGTGGGAATGAATTATCTGATGATGAAACTTTTGGTCATCTTGCTCTGTTTGCAGATAGTGATCTTTATTAATCCAATTGGATAGTGAATCCTACACTAATTTAATAGGATTATTAATACTTCACTATTAGTCTTTTGAATCAAACATGACCTTATAGTATTTAATGATGCTGTCAAGAACTTAAAATGGAGGAAAGCCATAGATACAGAGATAGAAACAATTGAAAAGAATGATACCTAGAAATTAATTGATCTTCTGGAATGAGAGAAAACCATTGGTGTTAAATGGATCTACAAAACAAAGCTAAATGAGAAATGAGAGGTTGATAAATTTAAGGCTCAGCTGGTGGCTAAGGGATATACACAAGAATATGGCGTTGATTATGTTAAAGTTTTTGCACCTGTTGCAAGGCATGACACCATTCGTTTGGTGGTTTCACTGGCAGCACAAAATTCTTGGTCCATTTATCAGCTTGATGTAAAATTCGCTTTTCTTGATGGTGAGTTGAATGAGCAAGTCTTCATTGATCAACCTCCAGGTATGTACAAAAAGGGAATTAGCAAAAAGTTTATAGACTGTAAAAGGCTCTATATGGACTAAAACAAGCACCCCGGGCTTGGTACAGTCGTATAGATTCTTACTTCTCAAGTGCTGGCTTCCAAAAATGTCCCTATGAGCATACTTTGTACATCAAATCTGGAAAGGGAGGTAACCGTTTTATTGTTTGTCTATATGTAAATGACTTGATATTCACTGGAAATGATGAAACAATGTTTATTGAGTTTAAAAAGTCTATGATGGATAAGTTTGATATGACTGATCTAGGAAAGATACGTTACTTTCTTGGTATTGAGGTGGTACAATCACCAGCTGGAATTTTCATCGGCCAAAGAGAGTATGATCAAGAAGTTTTAGAAAGGTTTGGGATGATTGATTGCAATCGTGTTCAGAATTCAATTGTTCCAGGTTATAAGCTCACAAGAGATGCAGAAAGAGTAAGAGTTGATAACACTCATTACAAACAAATTATTGGTAGCTTGATGTATTTATCAACCACTAGACCAAACATGATGTTTGTGGTTAGTCTCATCAGCAGATTCATGGAAGCTCCAACAGAACTTCATCTTCAAGCTGCAAAAAGAGTGCTTCGATACTTGAAAGGTACTGTTGATTATGGAGTGTTTTACAAGAAGGGAGAAGAGAATAAATTAATTGGTTTTAGTGATAGTGATTATGCTGGGGATTTGGAAGATAAAAAGAGTACATCTGGCCATGTTTTTATGCTGAGTTCAGGAGCTGTTTCATAGTCCTCGAAAAAGCAACATGTCATCACTTTATCCACAACTGAAGCTGAATTCATAGCAGTTGTTTCTTGTGCTTGCCAAGCTGTTTGGTTAAAAAGAATTCTCGAAGAGTTATGTTGCAATCAGGTTGGACCAACATTGATTTATTGTGATAATAGTTCAACTATTAAACTCTCCAAGAATCCAGTGCTACATGGAACAAGCAAACATATAGATGTCAGGTTTCATTGTCAGAGTCAAGACTAGATCGCAGCTATATTAACCAAACCATTGAAGCTAGAAGCATTTGTGAAACTATGAGGTTTGCTTGGAGTCTGTTCAATTTCCTTTGTAAACTGATTGCTTGAGTAGCATTCAGTTTAAGGGAAAGTGTTAGATATTTAGCCGTTGTTTTTGTTTTGCTTTGTTAAATAATCCCTATTTGTTAGGGACTTAATTAGCATTTGATCTATTCCTTTGGAGTATCCCATAAGTCTTGGGCTGTTAGAAGTGGGATATTATTTTCCTTAATTTTCTGTTCAGTTTGTTTCTATAAGTCTATTTAAACCAGGTCTCTGATTTCATTCAATAAGTAGTCAACTTTTCACAAGTATTTTGCACTACAATATTCAAAGCTTTGATATTTAACAGTGAGTGAGTATACAGAGAAACACTCCGGTGATAAATAGTATCCGGTGATCGGAGACAAACACTCTGGTGATCTTGAGATCTGGATCCAAAATGAAAAAATGAAAATTCAAAATCATCTCAAGTCAAAATCTCCACCCATTGCTAAATCCCAAATTAACTTTTGAGAAGATGTTCAATAAATTTAATTATGCAATGCATCAGTAGTATTTGAATAACACATAGCATTATTATCAATGGCAGATTTGTTGCACACTCCTAAGAGCAGCGCCGCCTTGAGGTAAGGCCGCCACCTGGAATCTCCAAATTCTATCTTAAAAAATAGGGTTTCAAAATAATTTCGATCATAAATTATGTTTTGTTTATTAAAATAAAGTTGAATAGAGTAATTATTCGATCATAATATCTATTTTTACCTTTGATTTACTAAAAAAGATTACAAACAAAATCACATGCACTATTATGAGGGAATAGTAATTTTATAAAGAGATTAAAGAATGATCATTTTTATTTCAGTGAACCAAACACAACATTATAGTTTTAGTAGTTTAAAAAATGAAGATTTAAACAAACAATTCAATTGGTGAATGATTTAAAAATAATGGATGGTTGCTTGCTAAATGTATGAATTATTTATAGAATATTGTTTGACTATGCGAGTTACAATTGCTTCTGGTGAAACAATTTTTTTAAGTTGAAGTTAATCAAATTTTACAATTTAATTTAGCATGTCCGGAAAAAGTGTGCATAAATTAATACTATTAACAATTGAAAATGTTCAAAATTTATCTCAATAATTATGATTTAAGTCAATAATTATGTGTACCATATGCAACAAATTTATAGAAGGTATAATAAGCAAAAAATAAAAATAAATTGAAGATTGTTATTTTTTACCTATATATATTTTAAAATATTTATGAGAGTCGAGGTGCCATCTTCTAATTTTATCTTAGGCCTCGTTTAAGAATAAGCTATTTTAGTAACTTTTTAGCTTTTTGATTAAAATATGAGGTAAAAAAAAACTAGTATGTTTGGAATTATTTTTTAATTTTTTACGAAAAGAAGTGTAAAAAGTAGAGAGAAAATAGAATCTTTGACTTTTTTGTATAGATTATAAATTTTTTGATTTTTAGTAACTTTTTGACTTTTAAACTAAAACTATAACATGCCAAACGAGGCCTAGGCTCTCAAAAAGTCAGGGCCTGACTTTGCTATATTACTGCTATAAAGTAATATTTACAATGTGTATATTACTTAAACAACATTCAAACTAATCAATCATACAGTATTTACATATCATACATGAATGATTATGTTTTACAAAGCAATGGCAACAAAAAATTCATTTCCATGATCCGCCGACGGAGCTTCACCGCATCACATTTATTAAAAAAATAAATAAATAAATAAAAAACACCTCTACATGTCACAACTCATATCTCATCTTCCAATTACTCTGTGTGAATTTCGCCAGGGGCACTGTGTCCAAAATCAGTCGTAGTTGAAGTCGAAAAAGAAGTAGAATTAAACGATAAATGTACTGCAATAGGCCGAGTTTCTGGCAAGTTCATCAGAGGCTCATCTGGATTCATGAAAATATGAACCACCTTTCTCATCCTAGGCCTTAACGTATAGTCCGGATGCAAACATGCTAGTCCTACCATCAATGTTCTCCTAACTTGCTCTTCCTCCGATTTATCTTCAACCATTTTGTCTACACACTCGAGCAACGCTCCCTTTTCGTAATACCTCCACACATTATCCACCAAACTATTCTCATCCATCATTCCTTTTGTTCTTCTCCCACAAACTAATTCCAAAACCACCATTCCAAAGCTATAAACATCAGACTCTGGGGTAGCCCTTCCCATGAAGCTCACCTCTGGGGCTAAATACCCCGGTGTCCCTGCTATCATGGTTGTGACCGACCCATTGTTTTCAAGTAACCTTGCTAACCCAAAGTCACCCAAATGGGCATTGTAGTCTGAATCCAACATCACGTTGTTTGGCTTTACATCTCGATGAACAACAGGATTACCACACTCTTCGTGGAGATAAACTAGCGCCGATGCCAATCCTAGTAGTATCTTGTACCTGGTTGGCCAGTCAAGAAACTCGCTCTTGCCAATGAATCGATCAAGGCTGCCATTGGGCATGTATTCGTAAACTAGGAGGAGTTGGTCACGGTCATGGCACCAACCTTGGAGTTGTAGTAAGTTCTTGTGCCTTAGGCGCCCAATAGTACATATTTCTGCCAAGTATTCCTTCTCACCTACAATGTAGACAATGAATAAATTTGTGATTTCTTTGGGATAATCCAAATGGAAAACTGGGGAATCAATAAAACGTGCCGCAATAATGACACAAAATTTGTGAATTTTCATTTTAAAAAAGTCCATTATGATGTTCCAAAAAAAATAAAAAAATAGAGTCCACTATGATGTTGAGTGAAATCAAGATGATTTAATAATAGCAAATACAGAACTACTAAGGATCCAGAAAAAATACTTAGAAAATTGTCTATAATTTGAATATAAGGCGAAGATTTAAACTTGATGGATGAATCTGATCCACACATTTCAAATTCTAGACACTTTTCTGAGTAATTTTTCTAGGTATGTAGCATTCCCGTAACTAGTATAAATAACATGAAACAAAAGGCAAGTAAAGCAAACCTTGTTTTGATGTTGAAGAAATCTTTTTGACAGCAATAGTAGTATGAGGATCTGATAAGGTTCCTTTGTAAACACTTCCAAATCCACCAGTTCCCAACAAGTTCTCTTTGCAAAAGTTGTGAGTTGCCTTTGAAAGCTTCTTGTAAGCAAACAATTTTGGCCCATTGGCTGATATTGCTATGAGCTCTTCAATATCCTCTTTCTTTGCAATCCTCTTTCTATTTCTCCTATGAGCTCTAACAACAAATATTGCAACAATTGTTGCAAGAACCAACAGCCCTGCGATGAATGCAACGAGTACTATCACCGACTTCTTCTTATCTTTTATCCCAAGAGATTGCTCTGGCAATTGAATTGATGTGAAATTCCACGAAAGGACTTGATGGGTTTCTGTAAGAACACCCGTGGCAGCTGTGAAGCCCACGTAGACAAAGTTTGGGACCGTGCCCCTCATTTTTATGGTATGGTTTAGAAAACTCACAAGGGGTTCCCCAGCGTATGAGACATAAATTTTAAGATTTTTAGTCCACCCATCGTATTCAATCTTGACTGTGATTTCTCCTCCACCCTTGAGATCAATGCCGGTACTGTTGAGACTCTTCACCGCAACTGGATTGTCTATGCTTGTTGTGTCGATTGCAATGTGGTTTGCGTCTGGTTCATTCTCGTTCTTGAAAGTGTCGAATTCGACTGCAAGTTGATGAAGAGCACCTATATGTGTATTTGTAAGTGAATAAGTTTTGTAAGATTTGAGTCTTTTATGTAGAAATCAAATCGTTCTAATCACAAGACAATAAAGAGAAACAAAGCAAACATAAAAAATTCAAGGTATACATCGTCACTATACCCTACTCAACCACTCTACAATACTGTCATATTCTCACACACTGAAATCCTAGTCGAAAAATACAATAAATGTCTCCAAAACTCTGACTCTAAGCCTTGGGCTTCCTTCTCTGTAAAAAGGCCCCTTTAATCTGGAATCCTAATCTATTTAAACCACCATGACAATCTTTCGCTTTAAGTAATAAAATCAAACTTATCATATAAAAAATAATAATAATTGATCTTTAAAATTTGAAAATTTAAATATTTTTCTATAACAGTGATAATTGTTCAGTCTATCTGATAAATAGCAAAACCCCCTATTCTTTCATCTAATCAAGTAAATCATAATTGAAAGAATAAGGACTTTAATCTTACCTTACATCAGTCTTTTTTATTCATCTCATGAGAAATATATATATATATATATATATATTGTTCAATCTATCTGTGTATATATGTAAAAAAATGAACACGCAATATAGCCATTTTTTTCTTTAATCTAGTTGAAAAAACAACGGTGAAATAAACAATAAAATTCATCCGATGATACATAGACAATTACCAAACAGAACAAAGAGTAGAAGTTTTCACCTTGAGTCGACTTATCAAAGATTCCCATATAGGATCCATAGCTTTCCCGTGGTGAGGGACTACTATCCTGTGCCAAAATAAATGCCATTCCATCACCAGCTCTTGATGAGCCAATAGGACTGGTTATTATCCTAATAGTGAAGGTGGTGACGATGTAGGCTGGCCATGCAATCACAGGGTGGCGGTACAAAACCCGTCCAACCTGGTCAATGGCCGTGTTTGGATCCATCGGTGTGATGCTCAAACTCCCATTGCCTACAGACACCGATCCCATACAAATTAAGTTTCCACCATTGCCACAGCTGCTAGAATCGAACGATGGGAATGAGATGTTGAAGACATCCCCAGAGCAGAAACAAGATGGGATGAGCAAGGTGTAGAGGATTACAAGTATTAACATGGCTGTGAATGAGAAGAATGAGAGTGACAACATAAAATGAATGAATTATTTCATTTATATAACTTGTGAAGGGGTTGTGGAGCTAAGGGAATGCTTATTCTGCTTTTGGCTTTTTTATTTTTGTTAATGAAGTTGAGTTTTGACATAATGAATTTTACTAGTACTACGTTTCAAATGCTCTCATTTGTATGCTTTAATAAGTTCACTTAAGGGGATAGAAGATTCAAGTTCTCGTCTTTTTTTCCCTTGCCTATTGAAACATTATAATATGTATATTAGTCAATTCAAATTAGAAGAATGTAAGATTAACCCAATAGTAGCTAGTCAAACGAATATACGGGGTCAAACCCCTATGTTGTACCGAGCTATATTGGTGCTGTTTGGTGTAGCTGTTAAAATGGATTATAGATTATAGCTTAACAGATTATAGATTATGACTTTAATCAGAAGCTATTAATCTGTTTGGTATAGCTGTTAGATAAATGCTATGTCACAGACTTTTGTGAATATTTTTTCGCAAATTGTTTGGTAGACTTTATAGATTTTATAAACTGCTTATCTTATTATTGACAGTTTACATTAAACTATTTCGTACAACTTCTACTTGTAATTTTTTAAATAAAAATAATTTAAATGAGTTAAAAAATAAAAATAAAAAACCTGATTATCTCAGAGATGAGTACTTTAAACTTATACTTTAACCAAATATGCCTGGTGTCAGTCCAATTGAATTAGTTCTATGTTCAAAAGATGTGAATGGATTCTCACCACAAGCCCGCTCAAAACAAATAAAAAAAACAGTTATCTTTGGTAGAATTTTAAAATTATGATTTGAGAATACAATTATATTTTGAATTTGTGAATTTTGATATTATTATTTGAATGTAAAAAATTTATTTGATTATGAATTTTAAAAAGAGTTTAAATTGAATGATATAACATGATATTAAAAAGTGGATATTTTGAAAAGTGTTTTGCAAAGTGAGAGAAATTAATTATCTAAAACTATAACCAAATAACACACTCAAACTAAGGAATACAATTAACTTCAAAAACTCTACCAAACACAGATTCTCACCACAAGCTAATTGTACTACTAGAATTTTATATATTAAAAAAATGATAAATTACACTGACATCCACAAAATTTGGACAAAAAACAATTTTACCTCACTTTTTTAACATAATTACACTTCTATCCACTTTTGACATAATTATACAGATCTCTACTAAAAGAGCTAAATGTAATGCAAATAATGAGAGTAGACACAAAAAAATTAATGAATGTACATTTTAACTGGAAACAAATAGCAAAATCATTTTCTTTATTCATATGACCAGCATATTACTAATGAAAATCAATCCAACTATTATGTGATTTAAAACCTAAAGAGAGGCCAATGTAATTACATCAAGAATGAAACTAACCGTATTATGCTTAAACCTCGGGGGGAGGTAAGTGCCACTTACCCAAAAATTAATGAAAGTACGAGACTCAACACAACACCAAATATTCTGCGCCCCAATCCATCATGATATACAGCCACAACATAATACCTCAGCTAACCCATCAATAAATACAGTTCAATTAGAAACACAACCCATAGAGAGAGTTACATCTAATACAAACTCAATATGGAAAGTAATCATATGAACCCATTTCGGTACTAAGACTGGATTGATAACCCACAGCAGAACACAATCTACACAATACGGCAGATATACTTCAAAACCCACTGGGACAAAAATGTAAGATATTGTCGATAAATATAACTACGTGTTCAACTAGTTGCTTTTTTAAGCAAGGGAGAAAAGAATGAAACTGGATGGCCTTCCCTCTGCTGCACTCCACAGTCAAAGTTTCCATTTTCGTAACTCAAGCACAACCTCTGTGTACCTTAAGGTCATGTTTGTTTGGGTGGACATGAATTTGGGATTAGACTAATAGTCCAATAAAATTATTAATCCGATATTTGGTTAAACAATTGAAATAGGAACTAATTATTTTAAACTTGACTATTAGTTAAGATAGGATAAATAATCCAACGGATTCGTAGTCCTAGGACTATTAGTCATGGGAATGCTAATCCAGTCCGCCCAAACAAACATGGCCTAATTGTGTTGTTCTAACCAATAGTTTCGAAACTGAAAACCCTAACCACAATTGCCATCATTTTCAAACATAAGAATCCAGAGAGAAAGCAAACTCACTAATAAATTACAGATCCTGCAAGTCATATAAGAAAGTAATTTCTAGCTCTAGTTTAGCTGCACCACCACATGAATGGGTTTTAAAAAGTACAATAATCCAAAGCAGTGTAAAGCATAGAAGAGTAAATCATCTGTCTCTCCCCACTCAAAACTGGTTTGATCATTTAACAGCAGAACAACAAAAGTTTTCCAAAAGGTTGATCGCCACTCCACCATCCATGCATACGCTTTCCATGTCACCGAACCCCTCTACGATGGCACTACAAAACCATTTTCAAAATGGCAAGTATATTACAACTAAACAGAATTGCTGTAAAACATAGTACATGAGCAGATGATGGGTCAATTACAAAGTACCTATGAAATGCATCTGATGCAGAGAAGATATTAAACCCAAACATTCAAAACAAAACAAAACAAAAAAGCAGATGCAACTAGATTGACAGGCCGTTTGGTCGGGTGGCAGGGAGAGGGTGGTAATAAGGTTTTCCCTTGTTTCGGTAAAGAACGCATGTCATCTCCTTTGAAAAAAATTTGATACCAAACAAGAATACCGTCAATCCCCAAGAAGCATGAACAAAGAAAGACACGAATACAGACATGTGACACAGCAATGACAAGCTGACATGGAAATTTTCAAAAATTGTAAGAGACGACACATGGACATGCGCAAAATATATAATTTGAAATATTAATTATATATGAATATACAAGTCAAATATAATAATTTTGAAAGTTTAAAGGAGACAATTAGATATAAATTTATATTGTTTTTGTTTTATCATTGGATTTCAAGTTATTTTTATTTAAATTTGTAACGTGTTTTATGTGTGTCTGATGAGTGTTGGGAAGTGTATGATGAGTGTTGTGTCAAACAAAACACGTTACCTTCTTTGAAATGTCTATGCTTGTTAGCTCAATCCCATCCTTAGGGATACACTCCCAGTCCCTCCTACCTTCCCTTCCCTTCCCTCCAAATGCTATGTTTGGTAGGGGAGAGAGAGAGAGAGAGAATTGGAGGAGAAGAGAAAATAAAAGAGAAAATAGAGGTGGAGAGAAAAGAAAATAGTTATGTTCACTAGTCTGATTCGGAAAGACAGTAAAGAGAAAATCAAGGACGAAAATCGTCATAGATTTTATTTTAAGGGATTAGTTTGTACCTGCGAAAAATGTTTTTGTAAGAACGACAGGGAAAACTCAAAAATGTTTTCTTTACTGTTTCTTTCCTTTCTCTTCTGATAAGAAAACTAAACGAGGGAATGAAGAGATTTCGAAAATTTTGCCTACTCTCCTACCAAAGTTTTCTTTAATGAAGAAAATAGTTATGTTCACTAGTTTGTGACGTGGAGAAAAACAGCCATGACTATCATTTGAAGCTATCTAGGATGAATAGGACATACTATATGTAGACGTATCAATCTGCTCAGGAAGCTCCTTTATATCAACTTCAAACCTCTCCTGAACCTGCAAGCAACCAACCAGCATGTCATCAAACACGTATAGAAATTGAGCAACACCATTACGCAAGGAAAAATAAACCATACACGTTCCCAACCTGATTGAGAACATCAGAATCTGATGCAGATGAAACAAATGTGATTGCAAGTCCTTTGGTACCAAACCTACCAGCTCTACCCACCTGCAAAGAATTTGAAACAAAAGCAGAACAAGAAAGACGGCTCAGGAATGACATAGGAAAGGACAAGCCAGTCTTGAGATAAAACAAGCTAAAAAAACATTGGACTTACCCTGTGCAGATAAGTGTCTGCAGAATCTGGCATGTCATAGTTGATGACAATGTTAACACGTTCGATGTCAATTCCCCTACCAACCAGATCTGTTGCCACGAGTATCCTCTTGTGCCCCTCCTTGAAGCCCTTGTAGCGTGTCAACCTGCAAATTAAAAAACAACATAAATTTATACATGTGTCAGTAGAAAATAGCAGTCAAACTATAGGTAAAAAGTCTAAAAAAAAAAAATTCGATCGGCAAAAGTCAGTTGCTAGCCAAAAGAACAGCAATAGCCATGAAACACAGAAATAGCCAAAAGAAGAGAAAAAACACAACTTGAACACACTGACTCAACCTATCTTAAAAAGCTAACACTTACATATGGCGGTGTGGTTGCAAATGAACAGAGCTGCTCATTAACAACCCAGGCTAGGCTTAGCATTGGTGTGCTCACTTTCATAAAAATAACCAAGTTTAAGCCAAATTTAAAAGCTCATTCCATAAACAAGCCAAGCCCCGGCAGGGCCAAGCTTGACTCATTTGTGCTAGTGACCACAAGCTCTTAATATAGCTGCTGCTACATAATTTGAAGCATTTTCGTGACCATAAATTTTAAGACCCTCAAATTCCTCTTTGCAGAGTCATTAATTTAGAAGACAAATACTGCACATTAAGTAGCATTCAAAAGGAGAAGAAAAGGCCTGCCCATCTTGAGTTAAAATAGAAAGAACGGCATGCCCATCCATCACATCAAAACAGGCTTTTGTGTTTTATCATTTACACTTAAAAATAAGAGAAATCCATTTAAGGATACCACAAGTATCCTAATTTTAAAGGCAGTTTAAAGCACAGATATGAAAAAATAAAAAGATTACAGTGACTCCAAAAAGATTCATAGCCATGGTTTTAACGACGATACAATCATATATCAGCTAATATCAGACAATATCAACCAATATATCAATTAAAAACTGTATCAGAAATCCAAAATCTGTTACATAAGGGCCGATATTTTGGACTCTGTTCATGGCATACATTATCAAACATCATACATAAGTCCTGGGGTCTAAATCTTACACAAAGGAATTGATGTAAATACATGTCAAAGCACATTTCTTTGGTAACAACAGTGTCCCTTGGTTAGAATTTCCCTACAGTCATCTTTTGAGAACATATATGTTTGAGCAACACCTAATGACTAGGTAATTAACTAGTCCATGTGCCATAAAACGTTGGCTGTCTTGGCACAAAAAATGTATTAATGATGCAATGTGGTACAATGCAGATTAGATTCAGATCATATGAACAACTAAATGACATATTCATCAATAAAAGAACAGCCATGAGCAAAATAGTGAATTTTTCTAAAGGAACGTAAATAAACCCACAATAAACATTTATAAAATACAAACCTTTCTTCTTGAGACATGCCAGAATGGATGCAGATGGATGGAAAATTACACTCTACCAGCAACTTGTTCAGCTCCGCAGCTCTGTTCACACTCTTGACAAATATAACTACTTGATTGAAGTCCAAAGCATCAAGAAGGTCATTCAACTTGCGGTTTTTCTCCAGCTCGTTCAATTTGATGTAGTGCTGACGTGGAGAAAAAATACCAAGGTGAAATAAATTTCAAAACTAAAGAAAATACCAGAAAATAAAATCTACATATTTGTTATAAGATCTATAGGGTATCTATATCCACATATATATATATATATGTAACTTCCAAAGAAATACCTGTACAAGACCATGAAGGGTCAACTTGGCCTCGTCGTCCACATAAATTTCCATTGGCTGAAAGGAACAAATGTCACAGTAAGCATGTTAGGAGCCTTCCTGAAGCTAATGGAATCCAGTATCAAATGAAGGATGGTTGAACATCCCTTGAATCAAGATTCCGGTCCATCTGATTTGTCTCCTTGCAGATACATTTTTAAGTGACAAACCAAGTCCACTTTCGCTCAACACATTATTATGCAACTGACAGGAGCCACATGTTAGACACCCAGAACAAACCCCTCTTAAACCCACACATCTAAAGGGAAAAAAAAGAAAAAAAAATAAACGTGAAATAAAGGGAGAGGGGGGAAGCTACTGAAGAATCTGAACACCAACCCCAACCCCACACAACTTCAATCCTAAAGACCTATCTTTCTTTTGCCATTACCCTTTCCCTGCAAATCCCCTGAAGTGACATGCCAATGATCGATTATTGAATAAAGAGGCAGCATAAACACAGTACAGAACTGTCAGCATATAATGCTGCAACCACTGCATTCCTAGTTATCTACTTTTCGCCTGCAGAAAGCAGGCATTTATGGAGAAAAACTCTTCTAAATTTAAGCAGAACTGGCCATGGGACATTACATCTTGCATGAACTTTTTGCAAACAGGACGGATTTCTTTGCTGAGTGTTGCTGAAAACATCATAACTTGCTTATCATGAGGAGTCATCTTGAATATCTCCTGCACGTCTCTCCTCATGTCTGCAGAATATAAAACAAAGAAATGAGAAAACCTTAAAACTAATAAAATATATTGAAGAGCTTAAGCTCTGACGTTCAAACACTTTAGCATGTTGAGAGGGGAAGGCATACCAAGTGACTCAAGCATCTTGTCACATTCATCAAGGATAAAATGTCTAACATTCTTCAGAGAAAGATCCTTATCTCTGGCAAGTGCCAGTATTCTTCCAGGTGTTCCAACAACAATGTGAGGGCATTCATTCTTTAGTAGATCCTTGTGAATTTTGATATTGACACCACCATAGAAAACAGCAATCTTGATATCAGGTAAGTAAGTGCTGAACCTCTCAAACTCATGGCAGATCTACATAAGGGATAACCACCAAAAATGAAGAATAATTGATAAGTCCAACATGGGGTTGTCTATGCATGCATGCATGTGTGCTGAGTGAGGAAAAGAGAGTATTGATGAGGTTTTCAAACCAAAGATATGGATTACAATACATACCTGGTAAGCTAATTCCCTTGTATGACATAGAACAAGGGCAGCAACTTGACCTGCAACAGGTTCAATTTGCTGCAGTGTTGACAGAACAAAAACAGCAGTTTTCCCCATCCCAGATTTAGCTTGGCAAATGACATCCATGCCCAATATCGCTTGAGGGATACACTCATGTTGCACTGATGAAGAATTAAATAAAATTGGAGCGAAGGAACCCTCAGTTTAAATTGAAAGCTTTACCAAACCTTTTTACTTCTCCAAAATGAAGAGTATGATAATAGTGAATTACCTGAGAAAGTCGAGACCAAAATTATTTAAGTTGCAATTTTAAGAAGCTAATCACTAAAATATTGATCTGTTAAAACAACAAAAGACAGGAAGGACAAAGTAGGCAGCTACCAAAAACAAGATTTTAAGACCATATGAAATAAATATCATACATTAACATGTTTGGCACCAGCAAATGAAAACAAAAATAATTCTATTAAAAATAAACTAATAGTTAAAAGCACCAAAGCAAAAGTAACAATCACAGGTCCACAAATACTGTAACCAGAAACCCCAACCCTCCCCCACGAGGGGGGAAAAAACGATCCATAGATATATATATATAGAGAGAGAGAGAGAGAGAGAGTTCATAAACAATCTTTTAAAAACACAACTTATGCAGCATAAAGAATCCAGCATAAAATTGGTCCAGTGATGGAAGTGCAGGCCAAAACTAGTCTTTCTTTCTTTGCTTCAATTTCATCCTGCGATGAAAGAAAGAAGCAAAACCATCTCTTTCCTTTTTTTTCCTGTGAAAAGAGGAAATCCTCTCTCTCTCCCCCCATACTCTTCCTAACTTTTTTCTCCAATAATCCTCAATTTTCTCCTTTCTGGCAATAATCATACGCTGTTAACTTTGGTGAGCATTCTGTTAGCTCTCATTCTCTCTTCAGTTTCTTCTATGCAACACCTTTTTCTCCAATAAAATGTAAAAACAAATGCACATTTTTCATGTTATACATAAACCATTTTCAATTTTCATGTTATAAAATCCATGGTATTCTACATTTGACATCATGAAATCCCCTGTCACACGTTATATATACAGCAAAGTATGACATGTTCTTCATAATTTTATGAAAGGGAGGTTTGACCAAATAGTAATTGCTTCTTGTTAGCACCCTAGTGGCAGCGGGTTCGAGTCACAAAAATAGCCTCACTAGAACTAGGGGGTAAGTTGGTAAAGTTGTGCACAACTTGACCTACTCTGACCCTGCTATAGTGGGAGCCTCATGCACAAGTCTCTTCATAATTTGTTATGATCACGAAATCATATCATGATGATGTGATTAAGATATCACATTTAACTCCAACGACCTAGCCTGTAAATTATTTTAACATTCACCAATCCTTTTTCCAACATGATGATTGTCCCAAGATTAACATAGCTTAGGACGCTGGCTTGTGAACAAACCACAAATGCCCCTCAAAGGGAATTATCCTTGCACTGATTTTATATTTATTTATCCCAATTCAAGGAATACTATTTAAGTAACTACGAAAAGTGATCTAAAGGTTGGCTAAAAAATTTCACTATGTTCAATATCATTCAGCTGTCTCATGAACACTGAACCAGCTTTATACTGCAAATCCCATGAAGTGACATGCCAATGATCGACAATTGGCTATAATCAACTAAATTCTTATTACAAGCTTAACCAACAAAGATTACCATTAAGAATTTTGAGAAGCCAACTGCCCAATATCATGAAATTTGTTATTGAAGAGAGTTAAAGAAACGGCCCATGCCCTAAGAAGCACAGACACTTCTATAGAGGAGGCACATCGAGTCAGACACCCATGTTGGACATGACACTACAAATAGTCTTAAAAAGTGTGTTCGACCCTTCTTCAACATAGTGTTGTTAAAAGCGCGCCTAGGCGCAAGGCTCATTGAGGCGCAACCTGTGCACCTGAACTGGTCCCAGGCGAGGTGCGTTGAAGAAGTCGCGCGCCTTATGCGCGACTGGAAGCAGGCGAGAGAGGCGCAAGGCTCGCGCCTAGGTGCGACTGATGTTTACGCCCTAATCTTTGATCTAACGGTTGTGTCGTCTCTTCGTCTCTCCACATACGACTGAAACGAAAGCCCTAACCTTGTCGTCTCTCCATCTCTCGACTTCGATTTGACTTCGACTTAGACTGGGCTACGACTTTGACTTCAACTTCCAGGTGCGCTACACTCTCTCTCTCTCCCCTTCTGCCTTCTTCGACTTCGATCGTCTCTCTCTCGCCCTCCTTCGACTTCGATCGTCTAATCCGTCTTCATTTTATTTTAATTTTTTCTCCTTCTTCTCTCCTTCTTCTCTCTTCTTCGCTGATCATCTGCTCTACTCTGTTTTTTTTTTTTTCTCAATTATTTATGCCTTTGAGTCTCTGTTAAAACAAAAAAAAATAAATACAAAATAAATACAAAATATTTATGATTTTGTCAATTAAATATTTTAACAAAATAAATATTTTTTAAAATACATACAAAAAAATAAATAATTAATCAACACACTGCTATTGGTCTCTGTTTTTTTTACATTACATTATTTTCTAAATTGACACATTACATTACATTAATTATTTTTTAAATTGACATGTTACATTATATTATTTTCCATTACATTGTATTAATTAATTTTCCATTAATTAATGCACTATGCATCACACAATTGTATTAATTAATTTACCATTACATTACACAATTAATTAATACACTATGCATTACACAATTGCATTACATTGTACTAAGACTGTGCGCCTTACTTCAATAAAGTCCGCGCCTCGCCTTGCGCCTAGGCCCCGAGAGACCTTCAGCGCCTTAGTGCGCCTTGAGCCTTTAAAAATACTGCTTCAACATGTCTTACTTAAAATGAAAATTTATAATATCGCAAACTTTAGATACATCTCCGAAACTTCGGATACAGTTCTTAAACCCTCTCAAGAACACCCTATGTGATGAATTTCTTCATACTAACAATATTTTGTATTCTTTGGAATGTAACTTATTCACTCTAAATATGTTTTTAAAAATTTATAAGATTAATACATCATTTGTATTTCTATATTCTACAATTTTTTTGCATTCTTTAGATTATAATAGCTATTGTAACGGGTGACGGTAACCGCCAAAACCGTTACGTAACGGCGTTACGTAACGGTAGCGGCCGCTTTTTAAAACCTTGGGCGCAGCCTATGCGCCTGAACTGGTCCCAGGCGAGGTGCGTTGAAGAAGTGGCACGCCTTATGCGCGACTGGAAGCAGGCGAGAGAGGCGCAAGGCTCGCGCCTAGGTGCGACTGATGTTTACGCCCTAATCTTTGATCTAACGGCTGTGTCGTCTCTTCGTCTCTCCCCATACGACTGAAACGAAAGCCCTAACCTGTGTCGTCTCTTCGTCTCTCCATCTCTCGACTTCGACTTAGACTGGGCTACGACTTCGACTTCAACTTCCAGGTGCGCTACACTCTCTCTCTCCCCTTCTGCCTTCTTCGACTTCGATCGTCTCTCTCTCGCCCTCCTTCGACTTCGATCGTCTCTGATCCGTCTTCATTTTATTTTATTTTTTCTCCTTCTTCTCTCCTTCTTCTTCTCTCTTCTTCGCTGATCATCTGCTCTGCTCTGTTTTTTTTTTTTTTCTCAATAATTTATGCCTTTGAGTCTCTGTTAAAACAAAAAAAATAAATACAAAATATTTATGACTTTGTCAATTAAATATTTTAACAAAATAAATATTTTTTAAAATAAATACAAAAAATAAATAATTAATCAACACACTGCTATTTGTCTCTGTTTTTTTTACATTACATTATTTTCTAAATTGACACATTACATTACATTAATTATTTTTTAAATTGACACGTTACATTACATTATTTTCCATTACATTGTATTAATTAATTTTCCATTAATTAATACACTATGCATTACACAATTGCATTACATTGTACTAAGACTGTGCGCCTTACTTCAATAAAGCCCGTGCCTCGCCTTGCGCCTAGGCCCCGAGAGACCTTCAGCGCCTTAATGCGCCTTGAGCCTTTAAAAATACTGCTTCAACATGTCTTACTTAAAATGAAAATTTATAATATCGCAAACTTTAGATACATCTCCGAAACTTCGGATACAGTTCTTAAACCCTCTCAAGAACACCCTATGTGATGAATTTCTTCATACTAACAATATTTTGTATTCTTTGGAATGTAACTTATTCACTCTAAATATGTTTTTAAAAATTTATAAGATTAATACATCATTTGTATTTCTATATTCTACAATTTTTTTGCATTCTTTAGATTATAATAGCTATAATAGTTACGTGAATTATGTTTTGATGGTTAACTTACGGAATATATGGCTTTCTAATTTTAATTAACATTATGTTGTTTTTTTTCAATTACCCTCAAATAACTATCCATATATTACACATAATAATTATATAAAAATATAAGTGGTGTTTTGGGAAGTAGGTAAAAAACTGACTTTTTGATTTTTTTGGTGACCTTTTTGGCAAAAAACTGGGTTGTTTTTGGTAAAAAAGCTGATTTTTTTAGCTAAAAAAGCTAAAAAGCCAAAGCTGGCTTCTTACCATTGTTCCCAAAAGACCCATAAATTTTTAACATGTCCCAGACGTACTGGGTCTTGTATTTTCTGAAAATTGGCATGCCGTGTCACATATTCATGTGTTGTGGCCCATGCCTATATTAAAGAGGACCAATGCTAGAAATGGGCAAATTGACTTCTTTCACACATTTACCACAAAGGAAATCAATCATTTCTAGTCATCTACAGACTTTCAGATAGAAATAATTCTGCATACAGATAATTCACTGTGCATGAAACATATGATTACCAATATTTTTAAAATATGTCATACACAACCATATATTCATTGGTTACAAGTCATGAACAGCACACATTTCAGCACCTGAAGATGTTTAATTCAAGTAAAGTTGACTTTGAAACATCAGAACACCAAATATGTAGCATGAAACAGATTCTTCAAGATATCAAATTTCACATGAATGAATTCAGAAAAAATATTTAGCCATACACGAACCTCCAAGTTTGAACTTGCAAAATACAACATAAATTAGTTATAAGGAAAACACGACTGTCTAGAAATTGCAAGAAAAGATGATACACTTGTTTCTATCCTAAGATAGACTATGCCCACATTATATAATCTTTAATTTGCATAACAAGTGACTTCCATGCAATATGCATATATTAATTTTGTATTTTTAAACAGTTCATTGGCTGACAAATTATACGATAGACTTGCAAATTAATTTCTTAGAAATCCAGTATCATAGCAAGAAATCATTCTCAATTTAGAAGAAAGAAAACTAAAAGGAAAGGAAAAGGAAAAGGAAAAGGAAAGAAGCCAGGGATGATTAAAAGAGATTAATTCCTCAATAAAGATGCTCATCCTTCTTTGATGTAATTCTATCAACACCTAAGATGACATCCAGATATCAATAGATAGATAAACATAACATTCTGGCCAACACTGGAATAAAGTAGCTATATATATGAAAACAAATTAACCTTGAAGGTGGTGTTCAAACTTGAGAGCAACACTACATACAAATACTGCCAAATATTATATTTGTAAATTGTAAATTGTACCCAATAATATATCCCTCCCAAGAACCATTCAATGGGGACTAATTTGAGTGTACTTTTTATTTTGAAGAGAGATACATTCAACTCATGAATATGAATGGCTAAAATGAATAAATATCTTGCCTTCAGAAGGATGCTCAAATCCAGAGTCTACAATAGACCGCAGAAGCTCTGGCTTCAAAAGGAAATCTCTGAATCCGGAACTGTGAATTCCAACATAGCCCCTAGAAAACAAATAAAGAAGGAAAAATTTAGAATACACAATTACATTTATGAACCCCAACTGTCCTATTAAACATGTAAGTCTGTCTTTTGACAAGTCTTACCAAAACACACTCATCTTATGATTCCATTCACTTAAAAGTAAATTTTTTTTACTTATAAGGCCTCATTTGGTAACGATTCCGTTCTCTACTTTTGTTTTCATTTTTTTTCCGGAAACTGAAAAGGAAACCTTGTCTGGTATAAACTTGTTTCCTGGTTTTTGGTAAATAAAAATTACCAAACAACACCTAAATTTTTGGATAATGAACTTTTCTGATATGCAAAAAGATCGAGGAGTTTTAATTACCAAATATAAACGGAGTTTTCATTATCAATTAATGCAACAAATAAAAGATCGAAACTTAGATTCAATAAAAATACACAACACATGGCTTAGAATCGAAAATAAACTGACTTTTTGGCGGATTCGCCGTTTGCTTTGGCGGTGACGGAGTCGGGGACTTTCTCATCCTCTTCCTCGTAGTCGAGAAGCTCTTCCTCGTAAGCATCGTTGTCCTTTGTTTCGACCATTCTAATACACAGCGATCAAAAAAAAAAAAAAAATTTATTAAAGCGATTAGTTAGGGTTTCAAATTCAAATAGAGAGAGACCTGAGGTTTTTGTGGAAAAGGTTGTTCACCTTTGAATCTGTGAGAAATTTGGAAGGGTTAGGGTTTGAAGCGTCTGCAGAGAAAATTTGTTAGGAAAAATCGGAAAAAAGTTGAAGAAGACGGACCTCCGCTACAGAGAGAGAGAGAGATAGGGTTTTGTGATTGGGAGTTGGTGGACTATTATAACCGGAGAAATGTGTATCTATTTACCAATATGTCCCTGAATCTGTTCCAAAAATTATTCACTAGGCTTTAATTTTCAGTATTTAATTTTTTGAAAATTAAATTTTTTATTTTGAGTAAATTACACTGACACTCCTGAGGTTTTAGATTTATTATAGTTTCCCCTCTCACTTTTTGGAAATTACATCTTCCCTTTGAGGTTTAAAGTTTCATTACAGATTTTTCTCAACAATTTAATTTTTTTAAATACCAATTTTGCTCTCATTGGGTAAAATTACATTGACACCCCTCACATTTTAGAAATTATAATCCCTTCCCTAAGGTTTAAAGTAGCATTACCAATTGCCCCCTTGAGTAGTATTAGTTGGAAAAAAAATTATTTGAAAAAAAAAATTTAATTGAAAAAAATTTTGTTAGTAAAATTTTAAAATTTCTGTTTAAAAATTAACGTAAACTCATTTTTTGAATTTACATTGTTTTCTCAAATTTACAAGCTGAGACAACCATTTATAAACCAAAAAAATTATCAAATAAGTTTTTATAGCAGTTTTTAAAATTTTTGAAAATATCAATTGAAAACTGAAAACGAAATGGTTACCAAGCAGGTTTCAGATGGCAAAAATGTAGTAAAACTAACAAATAATTAAATAAGTTACCAACATAAGAAATGACTTATCAAAAGATTTTTAGGCTATGTGTGGTTTTATTTTTAGGAAAAAAAATTAAAAATTAAAAATTAATTTGGTTAAGAAATAAAAAATAAAAAATAATTATCATTTTTATATAATTTTTATCTTTCGAGTGGTTATAAATAATTTTTTACAAATTAAATTGAAACAGCCATACGTATGTATATAACATGCCCAAATGTTAAAATGATAATTATTTTTTACCCTTAAACGATAATTATTTTTTATTTCTTATTTCTTAACCAAATTAATTTTTAATTTTTAAAAAAAATTCTAAAAATCAAACCATACATAGCCTAACAATCTTTTGATAAGTCATTTCTTACGTTGGTAACTTATTTAATTATTTGTTAATTTTACGACATTTTTACCATCTGAACTCTGTTTGATAATCATTTCGTTTTCAGTTTAAAATTTATATTTACAAAAATTTAAAAAACTGTCATAAAAACTTATTTGATAGTTTTTTTGGCTTATAAATGGCTGTCTCAATTTGTAAATTTGAAAAAAAATGTAAATTCAAAAAATGAGTTTACGTTGATTTTTAAACAAAAATTTAAAAATTTAACTAACAAAATTTTTTTCAATTAATTTTTTTTTAATTGGTAATGTTACTTTAAACCTTAAGGAGGGGATTGTAATTTCTAAAATATGAGGGGTGTCAATGTAATTTACCCAAAGAGGGCAAAATTGTTTAAAAAAATTGAATTGCTGAAGGGGAATCTGTAATTAAACTTTAAACCTCAGGGAGGAAATGTAATTTTCAAAAGGTAAGGGAAAACTATAATAAACATAAACCTCAGGGGGTGCCAGTGTAATTTACCTTTTATTTTTTATATTTTATTTATTTTTAGTCAATATTTTTAAAATTTTAAACAATGTTTTTATTTTTTAGATGTACTTTTATTAAATGTATCTAAAAATTAAAATATTTCTAAAAAAAATATTTTAAAAAATTAATAAATACACAAAAATATAAAAATGTACTAATTTTTTTATATTTTTTGGTATTTATTTTTAAAAAAATCATAAATATTATACTTTTTAAGTGTATTTATGTTCGGTGTATTTAAAATTTTTTTAAAAAATACTTAAAATATTTTTAAAAAATTGTAAAAAAAAACACGAAAAATAAAAAAATTCAATTTTCTGAAAAGTAAATCCTGATTTATTTATTTTTTTGAATGAAAATTATTCAATTTTTTCTGTTGTTATTGTTGTTGTTGTTATAAGAGTATCTTCAACATTTACGATAATTTTTTTTAAAAAAAATTGAATAAATATCTAAAGAAAATTTTTATTTGACATCATGCACTTCAACGTAAATTTTTTAAGTTTCATCAAACAATCGGTTGATCGGAATGACAACTGACAGGATAACCGGCAATAAGTAACTTTGCAAGCAATAATAGGCAACTTTGCAAGTAATTGGTTGGGTAGTCATCCGGTGTACGTGAAGTCTCAACAGCTATCTATAAAAATTTGATGAACGCTAAAGCCTTCATCAATTTGATGAAAGTTTTGGATTTCCCCTCATTTGATATGAAACATTGTAGCATAAAAAAGTGAGTTTTTTTCATCAAATTTAAATTTGATAAAAAGTGGGTGTTTGGAAAGTTATTATTTTAGTAGGTTTTTTTAGTTTTTGATTATTTTAGGAGGTTAAATTTTTTGTGTTTGAGAAGATAATTTGATTTTTTTTTGTAGTTGGATGTGATGTTTGTGAGAAAAAAAATAAAATAATTCTAAATTTGATGTGACATTTTGTCTAGATTTATTTTTTTTTTGGTTTTTTAACCAATTTTGTCTTTTAGTGTTTTTTTAGCAAAAAAAACACACAAAAAAAAAAAAAAAACACTTCCCAAACACCACCCAAGGGTTGGAAGCAATCTAATAATGTAGGAAATTAGTAAGTTAGATTATAATAAAACAATATTATCGACTCGAATCCTGAATCTCTAACTTTCTCACTATTCCAAGAGACACTTACATAGATCAATGGGCAACCGCCTTGTCTGCAGTTAAGATTATTAAACAAATCGAGTTAGTTGAATTTGACTTGTGTTTGGTTTATTAAAAACAAATATGAAATCAATTGATTATATAAACAAATTAAAGATGAACTTAATTTTTCAAACTAAATTTGAACAACCTATTACTCTGCTTGATAAACCATTATACATTGTAAAAAATAATGTTATTTGTATTCGATTCATCAAAAGCTTGTTCATAATCGGTTTGTTATATAAATAAATCGAATTTAAACACATTTTGAAATTTGTTAAATTTAAAAAATAATTTTGAATAATTTAATATTCGACTTGTATATAACCTTATATGCGTTGGATATAATTAAATAGAAATAAAGTGTTTTTAGATTAGATACTTTTTTAAGAAAAATAAATAAATAAATTTGTTTACCATGCATTTGTTGATAGTTTAAAATAATTGTATGCTTTTTTATAAGGACACATATTTTTATTAATTAATGCTTTCAAAATACTTTTCATTTTTGCTCTCACTCAGTTTCTACAAACCTAATTGAGGGAACTTGAGTAAGAGTAGTCAAACTTGGCATATAATAATGCCTTGATTAACACAAAAATAATACTATGCTTAATATTTGTATAATTATGAGCTCAATTAATGAGTCACTTCTTGTTTAGAAATGTGATGACCATTTTAAAATAGAAAAATTGGTGGTTGTAGTATTATTCTTTTAAAATAGAGAAATGCTACTATATATTACATAATTTTTGTTACTTTTTGTGGGTACTTGTATCAAGCTCAATACGTGGCAAGCCCACATCACCAAAACCCCACCCACGTGGCAGACCAATAAGGCACCACGTCGGGCATGTCGTATGTTTACTACATGGCGAGCCAAAAATTAATAAAAATAATATATTCAATAATATAGAAGTGGGAAAAAAAAAGTGACATAAAAATCATTTTAATAATAACATATAAAAATTCTCTCAACATAGCATTACTCTTTTACAATTGTAGCTTATTACTGTGAATATATATTGCAGTATAATTTATGAAAGTTTGTGTTGATAATTTTCATATAATGAAAAAATATGATGAAATGACATCAATGATAACTAACTAAATAATGTTCACAAAAAATAAATAAATAACTTACTAACTGAATGACACCATGGAACAATTTTGTTGGCTATGCCACTATGCATAAACTATTTTGTGTATAGTTGATTGGTACAAGTTCTTATTTTAGGCAATAAACAAAAAGAAAAAAAATGTTAACTATCTAAAATAAAATTAATAATAATAGTTGAACCCACTTTATTTAAATTTTTATCAATTTGTTCTTATAAAATTTATTAATAAAACCAAATGTTTGAATAATTGAAAGATAGTTTTATTATTAAGAATGCAATTTTTAATAATAAGCTCCCTTAAAATGCATGCCTATAAATATTGACAAAAAGGCAAAAAAATAAATTGTATATGAACTTGAGGGGACCTATGATATCCACCATGAGTCTCATTTCGATAATTCGAATAGTTTATTTTGTAAGGTCCTTAATTTATATCATTCATGAAAAATATTAATTTGATTCGATATTTATAAGATTTTAATTTTATCAAGTTTGTTTAAAAATAAATAGATATAATAAAAATTTTACGATTATCGAACTGACTTAATTTTATTTATTTATAAATAGACCTTGTTTGGCAACGTTTTTTTTTTTTTTTTGGCCTATTGGATTAAAATTCACAAAAAATATAAAATATGTTAAAATAATCAATAAAATAAAATGTCACATCAAATTTATAATTATTTTTATTTTTTTTCTCATAAATATCACATTTAACTACAAAAAAAATTCAATCATTTTCCAAACATAAATATTTTAACTATTAAAATAACCAAAAATTAAAATAATCTATTAAAATAGTCACCTTTCTAGACCAGGGCATAATATAACAAAGAGTAATAATTTTGTATCATTGAAACCAACCAAGGGCAAATTCTCTCAAATTGAGAATTAAAAGCTCAACTCATAAACAAAAATGAAGAAGAGAAAGAAGAAAAAAAAGAAAAAGTGCTCTTATCTATTTGTGGCAGCTCCACACCACCAGACTAACCAACTTAACAAAATTCCTCTCTCTCTCTCTCTCTCTCTCTCTCTCTCGCTCTATATATATATATATATATAATTTATTCTCAAGTGAAGTAATCTCTGTTCTTTGATTGATTGCAATGGCAACTTCTCCCTGCTTCATACATATAAATTCTTTCATAGCTACCCAAAAGCCAGGTAACTCTCTCTCTCTCTCTCTCTCTCTCTCA